TCTGTATCCTCCAGGGTTTGGCCTGCGGCAGCCCATGACTCACTCGCCTACCAGGTTTGGCAGTAAGCTGAGAAACAAGCAAGACAGCAAAATGTCTTGTGGAAACAGCAAAGCAAGAGACAAATGAATTAATTGCTGGAAGAGCAGAAAAATAAACCACTGTGCACAAAGAGGGCCCTAGATGGAGAGAGACGCGAGGACTCATGCCACTGAGGACTCCAGAGGAGCTGGCATCCCAGGCAGCCAGCTCCATTCGTTTTCAGGTGAAACAAACTCAGGATGCTTCAGTCTTAAAAGGTGACGTAGGTGGAAATAGAAGATTTGAGGCTCTACCAGCCATTCCACCAGCAGCAAGACGGTTTTCCAGGGGCTCAAGGAAGAAAGAGGATTTGTGGATCTACATTGCCATCTAATGGCAAGGAAGAGCTTAAAGCATTCACCATGGCTCAGAAATGGGCTATAATAGCAAAGTAACTGAAGAGGGGATGGTCCACAGAGATGATTGTGTCTTTTGGTCTAATGGCAAATCCTTCTCTGCGACAGAATGAGTCTCACCGGTGAAGGCAATGCAGCCAGCCCAGGGAAAGGAAGGGTAGCCAAAATCTTGGGATAGAGGCTGCGGAGTCCTCCTCTTCTGGCATCCTCTCCACTCCATTCATTCTGGACGAGTCAGGAATGTTAACGTGCATATAGGATGGGATTTGCCTTCTTCTGGTGTACCAGATATTGGCAGTGAGACAGGCTTCCCGAGCAGGTGCATGTTTCAGGTGCTGAGTGAATTCTGCCATCCTATTCAAAACAGTGTCAAATTCAGCATTTCAGGTGTTCGAGACCCTGTTGGGAAATGCAGATAACCAGGATTATTTAAAAAAAGAGCTAAATTCCCCTTGGATCTAGGCACAGGAAGAGTAGATCTACCATTTTAGTCACACCTAGCCCAGTACCTTGTCTGCATCCATGGTGAGTAATGGATGCTTAATGAGACAGTATCAGAAAGAGGGTTTTACAGATTGTTTCTGCCCTTCACACTGGGAGACAGCCCTGCAGGGAGAACCCGCAAAGAAAAGAAATGCAGCGAGATGTGAGGGTTTATGGATTTTGTCATTTAAAAGGAAATACCAGGAAGAGACAAGTTTTATGTTCATTCTAGTGCCACCTTTGCTAATGATACGCCGTATTAGATAGTTTCTGGAACAGAATCTTTACAAGAGAGAGCGGACTGTTGGGACATACATCAAGAAACCAAGGGGAATTTGGTAAAGGATTGTCAACAGCTTCTTTCTTCTGCTTTGAAATGTTTCTAGCCTTGACACGTACAGCTTTGCATATGAGGAGGAGCTGAAGCTCAGTCGATGTGGAAGAGGCGGGTGACCTTTTATGACCAGGAGTTTAGAACAGAGCAGGAACGGGGGAAGAAAATGGGGTTATAAAGTGTCTGCTTTTCCCAGGTAGTGAAATGGGACACAGTGTGGGTCCCACCTAACTTCTGGGCAATAAAAAAGGAGTAGGGACTGAGTGCACAGGAGATTTTGAGACCTGCCAGACTTCAGGCCACAGGTCCGACCCCCTCCCTGTCTGTTAAAACGCCTGCTGCGACACGCTTCCCATGCAGTGTGCTGCCAAAGAAATGAGCACACTCTCGAACAATCCAACTTCATTTCCTTCTGGTATCCTCTCGTATTTATGCACCCAACCTTGCCAAGCCTTGCTAGGCCCAAACAATCCCTCTGGAAAAAAAAAAGGAAAAACAAAGGAGTTCTTTATAGCACTCTGCCGCCTGCCTGAAAAAAAGAAATGGTTTGGAGGGCTCTTCTTTCTCTCTTGGTTGCTCACTGTTTCCCAAGCTAATGAAAGCCAGAGGCAGTGAGAGTTACAGGATTGTCATTACTGAGAGACCAGAGTAAATTTTTCAGGTACTTCTCTCCAGTTCGTGAAGCAGGGAGGGGAAGAAGGGAATGTACCTCGTTGAAGGGCTACACAGGGTGACATGTTCCTTGATGTTCCTTTCTAAATGTGGCTCTGAGTCATGCTACAGAGTTGATTAGGAAAATTATCTTCCTGCAGTAGAAATACAAAGGCAAAAGAGTCTTGTTCAGTATTCACTTCCCCAGCCCCGATTCTGAGCCTGCCCAAGCCTGCGGCAGGAGAGGGGCTGGTGAGTTGGCTGGAAAGCCACCTCTGCTCATCTCAGTAATCAGAAATTATGAAGAGGCTGCAAGAGCAGCCACAGAAACAGCTCAAAACGTGCACCTAAGGCTACGTGCAGCTGTAGTCCTGAAGAGAAACGTGCATGGTCTTGCATATGCCTCCATCGCACAAGTTCCCATGTGCCAGGTCAGACGGGGCTAACGCAGTCCCTTCCCCCCTCCGTTTTCTCCCCCACTTGATGTGTCTCCAATGCCATGCCCCAAAACCTGCTCCTTCTGAAAAAGCGCTACAAACAGGGCCGGTGGCACATCCACCCCTCGTGGAAGCGTGAAACCGGTACACCCGTGCAGGGTCCGGTCTGGAGGCAGGATGCCCGCAACCATGATGGAGGGAGGGGAGCCCTGAAGGAGCCATAAAACACAGCCAGCTGGTTTGAACTCACAGGAGCAGCGTGTGAGCTGGACCACCGGGTCGCAGTCAGCAGAAGAAAGGTATTAAAGGAGTACATTGCCCCGAAGAAAGTTAGCGGAGATCATCTCGGCTGCACCGCACCGGCAGAGGCAGCTTCAGCATGGTGGTGGCTGCCAGGACCCGGTGACTCCTTGGGTGCTTCATTGCTGATCAGGGATCGCTGACCCTAAACCAACACGCGGGGTCTCACCATCAGCCCAAACCCCCCAAATCCCTGCAGCCACCCGCTGCCCTCGGCCAGGGCTGAGCCAGCAAACTCACGCCGGAGGAGGGCAAGGGAAAATGCAAGCTGTGATGGTAATCAATATGGTTTATTAGCGTTTAATGCCATTTCTGCGGGCTCAGCAGCACTGTTAATTTAGTGCCTCACCTTGACTCTTTAAACCTGTTCCCAGGCTCAGAACCTGTGTGGTTTTATCTTTCACTGTTCATCAGCATCGGACAAAAAAATGCCTGTGAGGCCACCTGGTTGCAGCAGTACCTGTGGGCCGGAGAAGGGGAGGCAAATACGCCCATTTCTGGGGGGAAAAGCACATTTAGTTATGTGAGGCGTTCTGAGGAGTAAAGCACCGGTTTCCCAGCGAACGCTCAACTTACAGCTGTTAAAAATTCAGAACATTATTCTATGGCGGGGGGGGAACACCAAGCGGCTGAACCTGGCGTTATTTAATTGCCGTTAATGAGGGAAAAAGGGCGCCTCTGGCAGCCATCTTGGGATGGGGCGGGGGGCGCCCTCTTTATAAGGCAGCGAGTGGGGCCGCTGGGGGCTGAGGAATTGGTTTTAGCAGTAGTGTGAGCGTTGCTTTTATTCTGGATGGAAAGAGCTGTAAATCTCTCACAAGAAGCACCCTGAGCAGCCTAGCGAGTGCTCTGACTGGCCTGGTGGTGCTCTGGCCCCCCTCATGGGCATTGTGCTGGTATCGGCTTAGTGTCCATTCTGCCATTGAGCCTAGATAAATAAGGGACAATTATTCCTCAGAAGTCTCTCCTGAAAGCTTTTCAGTGCTATGCCAGCTCACCCCAGAGGCGCTCCTGGGTCT